TGCCGCTGCGGTTCCCAGGAAGTGGGAGTCCAGCCGCCACAACGCTCCAGCCCTGCTTCCCAACCGGGAGCAGCAGGACCAGCCACACACACCACCAAGGGCTAGACAAAATCCCTTTGCAGGTCAGATCCATGAGCTGTACTTGCTCATCCCTGGGCTAGCACCATGCACCAGCTGGCTATGAACTGACTGGCAATACTGGTGACTCCCCAGAGTCCTATAAACATAATTGAGAAAAAGACCAATTTAAGTATTTATTTTAAATGCATACATATGTACAAGGTGGACTTAATATAGTGTTCAGCCAAAGGACTTTGAATTAGAGAATGGAACAGATGTTTGGCACCTAATAGAAACAACATTTTTATTTGCAGTGAATGCCAGAGAAGGCAGGGTTCAAATCCAGATTAGGAAATGGATTCACTGCCATTGAAATTCAGAATTAGGTTTTTTCCATGAAAAGCTGTTCTGTGGAGATCTAGCTCATCAACCAGCTACAGACTAGATCCCCAAAGCCACATGTCTAAGTTTAGATTAAAGGATTTCATCTCCCAAATACCAGTCCTTCCCCTACTCTCAAAAATTCAAAGGTGCTTGCTTGCATTTAATATGATAGATTTGGCATATCTTTAATCTTGCAATAATTAGAGTAAACTCATGCAAAAGGCATGGTTTTATAGTCCAAGAACAGGACTGAGAGCAGAAACACCAAAACACTGCCAACTTGGACAAGCTGATTAGCCTTTCTGCCTTTCTTTCCCTGCCTCTACAATGGAACAGTCTTATATTACTCACAAGAGTGTTGCAGTATTATCTACATAAAGGTAAAAGAAATACTGATATGCTGCTGTAGCATGATTAAAATGGCTATGTATTTTATAGGACTATAATTGAAGCCAAAAACTTAGAGCCAAGAGCCTTGTGAGGAAACTGTAGTAGAGGTGAGTTTAAAGTGGTGAATCTAGATTTGCAAACTGAACATGGTGCCAATTCAGGGCCCTCTTGGAACATGTTACTTTGAGGCCATTAGTCTCCCAATGATGTGCAAGATGCGACCCTACATGTTGGGTATATTAATGCCAAAGCAAAATCTGGCATTTTTCTCTCCTTCCCATTTTACACAGTTTTCCTTGGTGGAGAAGCACATAATACTTTTTTTATTAATTTTTAAAACTGCAATAACAATTATATAGGATGAGAGCAAAGGAGCCCTCCAGGGCCTTTTTTTTCCCTGGCCCATTAATATACACTTTATGAGTACTTAGGACAATCTGCCCAATAACCTCACGCCTCATGATGCACCCAAGGTATGCATTAACAGACCAGTATAATATCCTATTGGATCTGAGTGGTATTAAAAACTAGTTAGAAACAAAATTGTTCCTGCCACACATTTAGAGTTTTTTCACATGTCCTTTCATTAGCTGGAGCTAGCAAATTAGCCTAATTATTTCATTGGATTATATCTGAATTTAAATTTTTTTTGCAAAGCAAAGAACACCATAGGGTACTGTAGGCACAGGACAAGGCACAGCTATGTAGAAATACCTAAGCTAATCCTCACCAAGTTAATTTGAGTACCAAAAGCAACATAACCACCTTAGCCCAGTTGAGGAGCTTGGCATATTAATCTGGATCAAGCTCTGCCCTAAAACAGCTGTATTTCTTCTGGCACCCAAGCAATCATTCTCCACACCAAGTAGATGTACCCACAGTTAACAATGATCAAAAATGGAGAAATTTACAACAATTCAATTTTTAACAACAATGCAGATTTCAGCGTCTCATGCCAATGCTCTTCACTAAGGAAGTAACAAAAGTTAATTTTCTGCAAGAAAAAGTTGAAGAAAATTCTTTAGCACCACCTGCTCCATCAAAGCCCTTTACAAATTTCAGCATTCCCACTAGAATAGTCAGATATTATTCCCATTTTATAGCTGAAAAGCTTAGAGATGATTTGCCCAAGATTTTAAAGAAAGACTGGTAGAGCTAGAAATAGGACCTACATTTCTTGACTCTAAATTCTATATGCTATCACAACATGAATACAATGACACACTTCATGTTTAAGATAGCAATTTTATAGCTACTAAAGAATGTCTACCCAATTTTGGTTCCCATGAAAATGAAATGGCCTTTTCCAATAGATACATTGGTAGGTGGACCAACTGAGGTGTAAAGCAGGGAAATAAAAACCTCCAGGCCTGCAGAAGGGGAACAGTATCCCTGCACTATACTCTCCGCCAATGTACACTCGTCACCAACTTCAGATGCAGAAAACTGCAAAAGACTTGCATGAGAAAGTATGTCCTGAGATCTGGCAGTAGAAGGTATACTCTTTCTGCAAAGTGACTTCCCTGCAGTAATGCATGCAAAATACAAGGCAAGTAGCAAATATTCTCCAGAAAAGCAGACCGCAAGGACCAGTTGCAAGAATCAGAAAGGTTCCAGTGCTGGCTCTAATATTTGAGCAAAGACAGAATAAAGAAGCCACATACCTTTGTAGAAGGAATCCACCCTACTGAGAGGCAGAAGGGCATCTCCACTGCCTCTCCCTCCATCTAGATTTTTTATTATACTCCTAGTGTCTGCACAGAATCTGCAAATGTAAAATGGTTCTGTGCTTCTACCAGTCATTTCCGTTCCACACTGGGCTAAAATTCTTGTTCTTGAACAGATATTGTAAGTATTGCAAGCTGAGGTGAATATTTTACATTACTGTGGACTCAGCACTTGGTACCATGGGGCTCCCGTAGTACATACCAACACTTTTGCCTTGATGCTGGCTGCAGTTAATAGCTTAGTTTTAGGAGCTGCTTGAAAGAAAGGACTTCATAGCCAATTATTATGCATGCAAAAAACATTTCTCGAGAAGGAAATAACTAGACAAATTTAGTTAACGTAGAATGTTAAAACCCAGATTTCTTTTTGGTCTTTCCATGTGATTTTTTTTTGTGGAAGTGCACTAAATAATCAGCATATTTGCATTATGGTGTTGAAGCAATATTTCCTAGAAAGGAATGCTAAAAACTGAGTAAAGATACAGACAAGTCAAATGTCAATTTGATAGCTCTCAAAGATTCTGGGGAAAAAATATCTGCAAATCTTTCATGTATATCCCATTGGTGTGTACTTATTCTAGTATCTCTAGGAAGTCTGTAGCTTGAAAAGGCCAGTTTCCAAAACTAGAACCAAACATTGCATCAGTTTTCGTCACATAAGTTTAAAATATTGGTAGTTCCCCCCATATGCATACTCCAAGAGGCATAGTTCTCCCCTCACCTCTCAAACATTTGTTTTTTTGGCTGTATTCTTGACTATGTTGAAAATGTATTCAGTCTTAAGATTTTACTTCTTAAATTTGTATTGTTTTGGAAGGTTTTTGTAACTTTTTATCATTCAGTAATCTAAGTGTAAAATCTTTCTTTGGGGACTGCATTTTAACATGGTGGGGTGGTTTATGCACCACGGTGGTGCCAGGAGCCATGGCAGGAGGAGTTTTAATCCCTCAAAGTCACCCGAGCAGGATAGGCCAAAAAGGGATGGGTCAAACAAAGTCATCCTTTAGGCCACCACCTATTCTCATTGAATAAAGCAATAATAATAATAATAATAATATAGGAACAGAAAATCAGTACTGAGAGAAAACCTCTTCAGGTTTTAAGTAATATCTGAGAGCACAGCAAAAAATAAATTCAGATTCACAATTTAAAGTGATTTTAGAAATGGGTGAGGATTGATTGTTCATTTGACTTGCACTGGCTATGTTAAATTACAAAATATTTTAAAGAGGTGCTCAGTAAGTATAATA